ATGCAACTTAAAAACAGTGACAATATCAATTGAATTGACTTATTAATATAAAGAGTACATTTATTTATCAACACCAGTTCAGCATTAACCAACAAAAATTATGAATGCTCATGATGTTTCTGGCACATAAATAAACGATTATCCTTCTGTAAGCATCCAGGGTCAAAACATTATGCACAAATATGCAAGTCTTAGTAGGCATTCAACACATTGCATTTAAATATTTAAGAGCCATCATTAACCATGCACACAATTCATCAACTAATCACATGCTCCCACAATAATACATCAGCTAATCATGCCCTTAACCAACCCACTTCAAATAATTAATTGAAAATCATATGCAAAATCTTTTTTTTTTTGGCAATTCACCATTTAAAAATAAAAATAAAAAAGCAATATCATGCCTGGGCTTCTTTCATTGCAGGTTACATTATTATGCCAGTAGGTGGCAGCCAGAGACTGTCTTAATCAGTTAGTTAACCACTGAAAGAATACTATGACAAAGATATCACTTTATGGATATACAGCAAATGTGAAGGGAATTGTGATTCACACTGGTGCACTTATGAATAGATGTATTATAGCAAACCACGTTTAATGAATCTCACCCCTAACATACAGCATTATGGTCAGTTTACACTGCCACAAAAACGATTTTAAAAAACATTTGTTTTGTTTGGACAGTGTGTTCACCCTGTAGGAGTATGGCGGTGTGAATTGGCTAACCCTAACCCTATTCTTGCAATATTCAAGTGTACTCATGTCCCTGAGTAATATCGGCATGCACCTAGGTCTGAAGAGGACACATAATATGCTAGTAGAGTGACGTCACCGATTGACTCTACAGTGCAGACTTTTAGGTTAAATTAATTAGCTTACTTCCATTTATCTATTGGCAAATTACCAGCAAAACATTTACAAAGCTATCAAAACCGCTCATCTACACATAAGATGTGATTAAAAGCCCAAACTTTCATTAATAAGAGCTCAAATCTATAGTTAGCCTACCTCTTATAGTTAGCATGTATAAGTTAACGGTTGTGATGCTAACGGTCTTTTTCCGAAGACACTAAACCATTTCATCAAACTGTAAATTCAATGAGAATATGAAAGCAGTATTGCAAAACATTGTTTGAAGACATTTTATATATATATATACATAGATATACTATACTATACTATAATTACGGTTTAGCTTTAAACCGTAAACCTATAGTGTAGAAATATAATTAGGCTGCATTGCAAAAACGCTCATATGAGGCATGAATATAATTTCACATAAACACATAATTAAACACGCAACATGAGCTTTATGTGCTATGCATTTGTCAAATATGTTTTCAAAATATATTTCAATATATTTAACAGTGTTTCACATATATATTACCTTCTGTATGGGACCTGTGAGATATCTTCATTTTGTGTTGCTAGTTTCAATCCAGGCATCTTTTGAAAGCAAGATAGAGCTTTGGCAGAACATATTTAACTTGATTTTAGTGAGTTTTGAGAAGAAAAGGGAGCGTTAAATGGCCATATGGTATATTTGATGTTCATATTTGTGTTTATTGATCAGAAGTGTGGGTGGAAAGCAGGCCACCTGTTATATAGTACCAATGAAATCCAACAAAACCTGCTGTTATATCTTTTTCTTTTTCTTCTCTCACAATATGAAGTCTCAATAAAAAATAAAGCACCTTCTTTTATCACCATAATCACAAGTGAACGGAGTGAACCTCATAAAGATGCCTTTTGCAACAAGCTGAAGTGACTGAAATGAAAACCAGCTCTTTATTTTCTAATGCAGGCAGGGGGTCCGATCATCCCGTTCTTGTTTCATACATGTGCTGCGACTAATTGCTCGAAATTAGTACTAGCTCATTCCTGTCAGCACAATGCAATTAAAACATAGAAAACACTTCAAACTGCTGTGAAAGGAAATGTTCACATTTACAGTATAAGGACTTACATGCATGCATGTTATCAGTTTTTGAGAGCTGTACATTTTTTAATCATCAGCATGAAACCAGTCCGAAGGATTCCCAGAAACTTGACATATTTATTTATTTATTTTAAGGCCTGGGAAGGTCATGTTTTTTCTCTATAGTCTCCATGGAAACATTTGACCAGGAATAGCCTACATCACACCTCATACACATATATTTGCACAGCGAATTAAGGGATTGATTTTAGAGTGTGCTAACGGGAAAGAGTTTAATGAGATCATCAGAGTGTTTGTGACCGCTGATGTGTGACTTCTAACATACAGCATTATGGTCAGTTTACACTGCCACAAAAACGATTTTAAAAAACATTTGTTTTGTTTGGACAGTGTGTTCACCCTGTAGGAGTATGGCGGTGTGAATTGGCTAACCCTAACCCTATTCTTGCAATATTCAAGTGTACTCATGTCCCTGAGTAATATCGGCATGCACCTAGGTCTGAAGAGGACACATAATATGCTAGTAGAGTGACGTCACCGATTGACTCTACAGTGCAGACTTTTAGGTTAAATTAATTAGCTTACTTCCATTTATCTATTGGCAAATTACCAGCAAAACATTTACAAAGCTATCAAAACCGCTCATCTACACATAAGATGTGATTAAAAGCCCAAACTTTCATTAATAAGAGCTCAAATCTATAGTTAGCCTACCTCTTATAGTTAGCATGTATAAGTTAACGGTTGTGATGCTAACGGTCTTTTTCCGAAGACACTAAACCATTTCATCAAACTGTAAATTCAATGAGAATATGAAAGCAGTATTGCAAAACATTGTTTGAAGACATTTTATATATATATATATATAGATATACTATACTATACTATAATTACGGTTTAGCTTTAAACCGTAAACCTATAGTGTAGAAATATAATTAGGCTGCATTGCAAAAACGCTCATATGAGGCATGAATATAATTTCACATAAACACATAATTAAACACGCAACATGAGCTTTATGTGCTATGCATTTGTCAAATATGTTTTCAAAATATATTTCAATATATTTAACAGTGTTTCACATATATATTACCTTCTGTATGGGACCTGTGAGATATCTTCATTTTGTGTTGCTAGTTTCAATCCAGGCATCTTTTGAAAGCAAGATAGAGCTTTGGCAGAACATATTTAACTTGATTTTAGTGAGTTTTGAGAAGAAAAGGGAGCGTTAAATGGCCATATGGTATATTTGATGTTCATATTTGTGTTTATTGATCAGAAGTGTGGGTGGAAAGCAGGCCACCTGTTATATAGTACCAATGAAATCCAACAAAACCTGCTGTTATATCTTTTTCTTTTTCTTCTCTCACAATATGAAGTCTCAATAAAAAATAAAGCACCTTCTTTTATCACCATAATCACAAGTGAACGGAGTGAACCTCATAAAGATGCCTTTTGCAACAAGCTGAAGTGACTGAAATGAAAACCAGCTCTTTATTTTCTAATGCAGGCAGGGGGTCCGATCATCCCGTTCTTGTTTCATACATGTGCTGCGACTAATTGCTCGAAATTAGTACTAGCTCATTCCTGTCAGCACAATGCAATTAAAACATAGAAAACACTTCAAACTGCTGTGAAAGGAAATGTTCACATTTACAGTATAAGGACTTACATGCATGCATGTTATCAGTTTTTGAGAGCTGTACATTTTTTAATCATCAGCATGAAACCAGTCCGAAGGATTCCCAGAAACTTGACATATTTATTTATTTATTTTAAGGCCTGGGAAGGTCATGTTTTTTCTCTATAGTCTCCATGGAAACATTTGACCAGGAATAGCCTACATCACACCTCATACACATATATTTGCACAGCGAATTAAGGGATTGATTTTAGAGTGTGCTAACGGGAAAGAGTTTAATGAGATCATCAGAGTGTTTGTGACCGCTGATGTGTGACTTATGGCCGTTGGCGCAGTCGGCCCTTTTAATCAACCGCAGTGAGTGCTTAGCTAAACCAGTTTGTGTGTGTGCAAATCTGTGCATTAGGATGTACGCCCAAATGTCAAAATGAAGGACGTAGAGAGAGATGCTTGACTTCTCATTTGCATGGGATTCTGATGTCCACTGCAGTGGACAGAGCTTTAAAAGTCATTTTAACCATTCAGAGTGTGATGTTTTATTCATGATGATGATGACCTTTGATCCTTTCCCACAGTTCTCTCCTCTTTTTATGTTATTGTGTTTTTATTTACAGCTATCTAAATTCAAATGGCTAAGAAAAGTGATGAAGCACCGATTTAAAAGGAAAATTGATTGTGTTAGTAGTGTTAATACTTTATTTTCATATATATATTAGATATTATTATATAAATATATTAGACCGTCTCAAAAATTCTAGCCTGATGACTATTTATGGGTGTTTGTCTCCCTCTTTTGGATATAGTCTGAATTTATTCACATTCATTTGGGCCAAGAGTGAACAAATCTTCATGTAAGTATGGAGAGTAGCCAAGAATTACTTGATTGTTCTTTTAAAAAGGGTATGTTTTTAACTGTAAACTTATGTTTACAGTTAACGTGCTAACTTAACGTGAGTTAATGTTTTTGTATCAGAAAATTACATTTAGATTAAAGCCTTTCAATACTGAATGTTTATTGTTAATAATAAATGTAATCATAATATAAATAAATGACAGTTGTCAGAATTAGAAATGTAAATCAGATCATATTACAATACATAGCCTACAATAAAAGAAATAATAATAAATGAAAAAAAAAACACAGGGGAGAAAATGATATAAAGTTAAACATTGAGATTTTTCAACTTTTTAAAAAATTCAATTCATTCAACATATTAAAGTCTACCAGAAAAATTGACCATAGCGGATTCTTACCTAAAAATGTATGTTAGGGACGTTTATGTATTAAAAATAATTAATAATTCTGAGTAAAATAATATTAGTAAACATTGTATAAAACATGTAAACGATGACGTAGGTGCACATCTCGCGAGACTCCGTCACGCCTCACCGTTGGTGCTCTTCAGCTCTCGCGATACTCGTTCACATCTCACCGGTGGTGTTGCTCCGTCTGTTTGCGGCTCGGGAGAAGATGGCGGCGCGTAGTGGTTTTCAGCCTGCGACACCCGGAGGCGGCGGAGCCCCGATGGGACCCGGGCCGCCGGTAGCCGTTGCAGGCCCCGTTATGGGTCCCGGTACGCCCTCGGGACGGATGGGACCCGGCGGCCCGCAGAACCATATGTATCGACCACCGATGCCCGGATACCCGGTAAGGCGCGAGGAGAACAAAGAAGCACCCTAACCTAGACGGAGGGGTTTGGTTTTAATGTTTGCATGCAGGATCTATGGGTTTATTCAATGCATCAAACATCCAGACTGTTTTGAATCGAATTAAAAAGCGTTCAAATGAGAACACCTTGCATTATTATGCTCGCGTGCTGTGGTGTTGATTTGAGTAGGTCACTGCAAAAGCATCAAACTCCACTTTTCTGATTTATAACCCAAAACACACGATTGGAGTATTTCTCTTATAATTTGCATCAATAAAAATCAATCCGCAGTTAATTTGGATGGCGTTAAGAGAGCTTCCGCAGAAAAGCGTGGGTTTGTCTGAAACTAGGGCCTACAGGAGCATCATCCTGATGGGTTTGTTGCATTGATGGCCAATGTGTTTATGGAGATATTACTCATCATATATTATGCGTGCAGTGTGCCTGAGACCACCAGTGGAAATACTTCTGTTTTGCGTTTTTCTGGTTGAACACATATTTATAATCCCTTGAATTATCAACACTCCGTGTAAGAGAAGTAGTTTGCTTATAGAAGCATGGAAAAGTCAGAGTGATCATGTTCTCCAGCATGATTTGAGATGTTCTTAAGAGCATCTTGAGCTTCAGTGACCATCTGTACAAACAGTCAGTTGATCAGCAACGCCTCTTTTATTAGTGACCCAGAAACGGCATGATATATGCTAGCATTCCATATTGCTATCTCATATTGCTTCATAAATGCCAGGCCAGAACAAGAAAGCCAATCAAAACGGCTGATCTCCTTATTTTTGTCCATTCGGTTAATCGTCCTTCGTTCCTATCTTGGCAGAGACCGGGAATGCCTCCAGCCAATCGTATGACCCCTCAGGGACCCTCAATGGGACCCCCAGGTTACGGGGCCAGTCCAGTGTCCCGCCCCGGTATGCCAGTCATGGACCCGTCCCGCAAGCGACCGCCGCCAAATCAGATCCAACAGGTCCAGCAACAGAATCGCAACCAACAGTAAGCCCAGTTAACGCTTCACTTGATGAAACAAACCTGATGATTTTGCTAGAGTGTAACAGAAATCATTTGAAGTGCTTAATTGGATCTATCTCTCATGGTGCTGTTTTTCATTTTAGTGCCAAGAAGAAGAAAATGGCAGATAAAATCCTACCTCAAAGAGTAAGTGGTCATGAAATGTATTTTTAACTCATTATATGTGTCTGAAGTGTCTTCAAGATGTTTAACTAGTGGCATAATTTGTACAGTATAAGTAGATCGCCTTGATTTAAATTTTTTTGAAAAAGCTCTACAATTTGAATGTAGTCAGTTAGTTTTTTCCTGTGCACTTTTTCAACCCATGCGAATAAGAAAAACCTTGATCGATGATATTAGCCGAATGCATTATTCGAAAAGAAGTGTAGCTCAAAGACTGAAAAACTAAAGTTGTGGCAGATTATGATGAAAACCGATGTGGTTCAAAAAAATCTTGATTTTGTCTGTGGCTTTATTTCAGATCCGAGAGCTTGTTCCTGAGTCTCAGGCATATATGGACCTGCTGGCGTTTGAGAGGAAGCTTGATCAGACCATCATGCGCAAAAGACTTGATATTCAGGAAGCGCTCAAGAGACCCATCAAGGTACATGCAGATCCTTTACCAACAGTGTCCTGGCTGTCTTCAGACTCCTTTAGAGGAACTAAATTGTTTGTTGAGCTTGAATCTGGAACTACATTTGATCGAAAGACATCACTCTATATCTGTTTGTTCTGTGCAGCAAAAAAGAAAACTACGGATATTTATCTCCAACACCTTCAACCCTGCCAAACCAGATGCAGAGGACGGCGAAGGAACCGTTGCATCTTGGGAGCTGCGTGTGGAGGGACGACTTCTTGAAGACGTAAGCGAGATTCTGTCATCTCACAGTGTTTCAAGTCAAACTCTTTATTGTCTATGTAGAAGTACAAGATTATTTCTGTAAACTCTGAATGTGTTTCTCTGTATCAGACTGCTGTGTCCAAGTATGAAGCCACCAAGCAGAAGAGGAAGTTTTCTTCTTTTTTCAAGTCTTTAGTGATTGAGTTGGACAAAGACTTGTATGGACCTGACAATCATTTGGTGGAGGTGAGATGCAGAACAGTGCATTTCTCAGCTGTGGGACTGTCCACTAGATCTCTGTTGTTGTCACTTTTGCGCCAGTTTTCAGTCATTCAGGTGTGACTGGTTGTTTGTGATTTCAGTGGCACCGAACCGCCACAACTCAGGAGACAGATGGATTTCAAGTGAAGAGGCCTGGAGATGTTGGTGTCCGTTGTACTGTACTGCTTATGCTGGACTACCAGGTGAACACAAACACGTTTCAGAAACTACCAGCAGGTGGCGCTCCACACTGTTAGTAAATTTGAGCAATTGAGACTGAGCCAAATTGTTCTCTTTCTAGCCTCCTCAGTTTAAGTTGGACCCCAGACTTGCCCGGTTGCTGGGGATCCACACTCAGACCCGACCCGTGATTATTCAGGCTCTGTGGCAGTACGTGAAGACCCACAAACTCCAGGACCCTCATGAACGAGAGTTCATCAACTGTGATAAATACCTCCAGCAGGTAACAAATATTAGAGTTTGTCTTTTGATGCTTTTAGACTGGAAATACCTGCTTAGACTTGACTGCAGGAAGTATCATATAAGCTAGTTGTTCACAATATTGCTTTCTTTTAGATTCTCTTGCCTTTTTTGTGTTCGGTATGAGTCAGATGGGCTTTGCGTAGTCCATATATGTGCTGTCAAGAGGCTTGAAAGTTGGTTTAATGCATCTTTTAACCAGGATAGTGGCTGCAATGCTAATGGCTTCAGTTCTGATTTATAACCCAAAACACATGGGGCCTCATTCATGAAACATTCGTAAATATAGGAGTCAATTCTGAGTAATTTGGCCCTAATGTGGCCTTTCCCATGGCTTTAGTTCCAAAACTAAATGTACAGTACTAAAGTACTATTTCCCAGTACCATTTAAAGGGTTGCATTCGCACCGAGAGTGTGTACTAAGAAGTGACAGCGGTCGACTGCGTCGTCATTTGTGCGTGGAACAACAGAAACAAAGAAGAACAACATTAACAACAGGAGGATGGAGGACGCTGTGATCGGAGCTGTGTTTTTGTTGTGTCTCGCGGATTTCACAATAATGGACATGGAAAGTCGACGTATATGTAAAGCGATTGAAAGAACGGAAAGGAGGACAACGACAACTGGCAGTGCTACAAGTGCCTGCACTTAAGCGTCCGTCCATCTATCGCTGTCCTCCATACTTGCGAAATAAGTTGACACAATGTTTACAGTATGTTTACACAGGGTTTTAAATCATGGCGGGTGAGGGCGTTTTCATACGCGTTTGGCCAACCAATGTCTACTTGCGTCACGATTAGTACCAGTTGTGCTGGTTAGACCCTGCTCCGGAGTAGG